GCCACTGCACCTCCAAAAAGGGCAACCGCGCCTCCGTCCTCCATCAAAAGCGTCCTTCTTACCTTAAACAACGAACAACAAGCGCGAAAGAGTCAATGTCGCCTCGTGCTTGCGAAAGAGCGGGACGTTCAAAAAGGCCAATCAGGGCCCTGGATCTTTGTCATCAAACGGGCAATACGTGCCCCGGCATCGCCCCAATAACGACGCGATGAAATGAGTCTTCCGTGTCGTCTGATTGAAAGACTTGTTTGCAAACGTTACTCGTGTTATGTGAAATCCCACTTTTTTAGCAGTAACCAGTTGCAACGCGTAATGTTGGATGGTTTTAGAAAATTCCACCGCGCTTAATTTCACGGATCACTGGTGGCAGCTGTCAGTGGCATCCCGGACGCCAACCACGACGGCTCTGAGAATGCACCAGGTCGCACCTCTGCTCTCAGGTGGCACGTGACGGCCCCATTCCACCCGCATTGCGCGACCGTGCTACAGATATCGCTTTCGTTTCTTCGCCCACTTTGGGGGCGAAAAATACGACTTTTTGAACGCTGCAATTAATTTTTTCAGCCGGTCACGTTCGCTCAAATTCAATTACTATTCTTCTGTGATCGGTTACAAGTAATCAATTATATGTTTCCGAAACAGCTAAAATGATTGAGTTGAGACGTTAAAAATCGTCCTGTCTGCCTGCGCGTCACTTAACTAAATTGCACCAACGTCGGACGCTTTTTTGGACCCTTAAACAAATAAAAACAATACCAAGACACCAAACGAATTAGAACGTCAACGCGCTCAGTAACGCTTTGACTGTCAAGCTGTCGAGAGTGCCTCGTTTCCTGTGACGAACGATTTTTGCAGGTTTTCGCTGACTCCACCTAAAACGCGTTAAACAGGCGGTCGCAACAGTGAAGCACTTCGCTTCCTAGAGGACTCGGAAGTGTCCCTCGGTTCCCTATAATTTCGTCGAAACTCGTTGCGTGGCCCGCGTGTCGACTGCGCCATGTTAGCGTTGGTGGGTGCTGACGTTTCGATATTTAGTACTGCGTTCCGTTAGTTCCTGAAGAACATGACATAGCGTTAATTTAACTGGTTTAACTACGATTACATGAATGTGTCTCTTTCGCTTCCGTTACGTGGCGTGCATCGGGTCGTTCTGTCGACGTGGCGATCTCTTGTTCCGAGGCAGGTGCTCTGGACAAGCTTCAGTTCTCCGAATCGCGACCGTGCGCGATTCGATGAATCGCGCACGGTCGCGGTTCGGGGGTCGAGGTCGAACTTGATCCTGGTAGGCTCGCGAAGCGTCATGTGTTGTGGATATAAACCCCCGGTGGTAAAATCACCGCGCAAGCTGAGGCTAGAGCACTAGATAGCTCCTACGGAATAGAGTAGCACAATCCTTTGATCTCCGTGTTTTGCCGACAACATGGCCGACAGGGCAGCTCGGCGCGAGTCACGTGGTACTCAGGGTTCCAGGAGGCGGCCCGCCCTATGGGAGAACACTGGAGATCGACGCAACACGGCTGATTAAAAAATAAACGCCGAGTTTATACTTTTCGAAACTAGTCTGTCGTGAAGTTGGTAAAGCACTAAACACTTCATCGAAGTTTTCATAATATTGGATGCGTGTGAAAATTTGGAGAAGGCGATTTCTAAGGCAATGACGTTTGAAGCAGACGATGGTTTTACGCAGCGGAGAGGGACTTTGTGGGTTGGCCGGAGCGGGTCACGTGAACAGTGACGTCGCCGCGTCATCTGCTGCATATTGCCGCTCAGGCAATTAAAAAAAAAAATAATAATAATAACGTTCTTACGTGGCACACATTTTAGCGAAAATTATTGTAAATTGTTCCTTGATTATGTAAAAAACTATTGTCGTTCCGTAGATCCCCAAAATATTCAAGAACCACCGATTTTCTCATGTTCCCCATGCATTTGTAAGCCGATTTGGAACCCCCGGGCGTTCGCCGCTAGCCGCCGAGAGATGGCATTCTAGGTTGCGCTATGCGCTACTCTGCTCCGAAGTAGCGACAAGCTGCCCGTATGGTCGCCATTTTGACCCTTGAAATAAGCAATTTCACCTTGACCTCTCCATCCGTGGTGAGCCGATCCAAATGCACTGGTGACGGGTAGCTTTATTCGTCTCGAGATCGAACTAAAGGTGGCGTTACTGTTGCGCTATCATCATCATCAATGTGTTGGCGCGTGGATAGGAAGATGGCTGCCCCATAGGCTATCTGCGGTCACGGCCAAGAAACTGCAGAATATCACGTTTAATGCGTCGTACAGTATCAATGTGAAAGCAATTTCACCAGAGAATGGTTCCATACTGTTCATTGCCACAATGCAATATCTATTGCACCGATGTTGGGGTCAGTTTTCACCGATATCCAGCGGCCGGCGCGCTGAGGAAAGAGTTGCTCTCGAAGTTGAGATATGGGGGCTATGTTGCACGTTTTGGACTCCCAGGGGACTAGGGAGAAGGAAGTGACGTCAACAACGTTCTTTGGATGTGGATTGGGGGAGTCGCTGATGACGCGTTGCGTGGTGCTGCTAAGATACGTTCATTCACACCTACGTCACTTCCTTCTCCCTAGTCGCCTGGGAGTCCGAAACGTGCAACATCGCCCCCCTGATTCACGCGATGACTCTAAACATTTCACCGCCGAAGACTTCAAACCAACGATGCATGACAACCAAGGTAAGTGGAAAAATGAAACTGTATCCATAAGTGTCATGTGTGGCCCGAAGTATAGTACGCGTAAAGCGTGCGTGTTGATACTCGCTTGCTGCTGGGCAGTGTGATCGTCCTTAGTGTGGGTTCTCCCGCTGCATACGGTGTTTTTGGAGAGGATGCGAATGCCACAAACTTATTACTGCGTGAGAATCAGACTTTTGAAACATTGTAGAATTGTCACTCCTACCAGCCTTCCTACACAATGCCACGCTAAAGGAGACATCGACTGCAGCAAAAGTAACTCGCTCAGTGCCTGCGTATGCGTCGGACGCACCTGATCAATTTTCTTGAAGTTCGGTCGGAAGTACGCGGTAAATAGGGCTGATGGTAACTGGTCAATGTACCGAAGGAGCAACAGGGACTATCGAGCCTAATCAATTACTTGTTTATACTCCATGAAGTTTTCTTACCCTCCGCGTGACAAAGGTTTCGTGCCACTTCGCTTAAAAAACATATTTTCAACGGCAAATCACGCTACATGAAAACGGCATGATTACATCTAAGGTTAACAGCTCACTAAAGGACGGTTGCCACGTACGAAGCTCCAGCCATTCTGTTTCCGAAGTGACTGCACCGCCTACTGCAAAACCCTTCGCTACCCCATATTTTCGAGAATTACAAAATTAGAGAAAAATAAAGGCACGCGATCACCTCTTTTGTTTTGAGGCCAGAATTCGAGTCTTTAGAGTTCGCGAGAGTTAGCGGCCGCGAATAGATTCCTGTGCCTAATTTGCGAATAATTGGGGTCGCAAAAATAAAGTGTTTTACGTATGCAGCGTTTAAAACGATCGGGAAGACGAATCGTCAATCGTGGCGATTCGTCTTCGTCAAGTTCATCAATCGATTATATTGATGAACTTCGATAAACTTTTGTATTATATCAAGTGATGAACTTTTATACACTCAGGGCGAGTGTATAAAAGTTCATCAATCGTGGCACCGTTCGTGAGTTTCAGATCCACAGTGTGGAGGTCCTTGCTGAGAGCAGTACGTAACTCCGCACGTGTACGCTCGTCGACGTGGTTGGCCACAACACGGCACTCAAGTTGTTCGGCTTCGACAAGGCACCGCTTTCCGTCTGCAGTGTGCTTCATAATAGTATGCAATGTCACTGAAACTGAAACAAATAAAACTATCACAACAACAACCACAGTAGCAGCATTATCTAAGCATCCGGCTGGGCATTCCTTGCCTTCGCCTGTTTCCACTCTAGTAGAACGATACAATCCTTTCGAAGAAACAAGCATATACACAACGCAAATAGTGCGGATAACCCGAAAACAAGCCTTCATCGTCGCGAGGATCCATGTTTCAACGTGCGCCGAGAGCAGATAACCTGCGGCGGTATCCACACTAGCAGTGTTTCCAACATCGGCCGCGCGGGGGCGACTCTTTTCGATCTCGAGGCGAATAGAAATATTTCTTGTATACCGAGAATTTCGCTATCTACACACCGGCGAAACAAGCGTACATCTTCGTATCACCACCACCTGCGGTGTCGGTGCTTGGAGGCATTAGAGAGTTTTCGTAGACCGCGTTTCCCCCTCCGCTAAACCCTCCGCAACGAAGAAGCCACTTCCGCGCCTGCGCGCCCTTGACTCTAGAGTTCCGGGTATCGTAGCGGGTTGCGGCGAGCCGTTGCGGGACGGCGAAAACGATCTACGAAAACTCCCCATTAAAAAATAATTAGCCTCTTTCGAAATAGGCAAGAGGAACAATATAATTGTAAGAAATCCGTGGAGATGGGCATAATTGGTGAGTTGATCGCGTACACAATGCCAAAGACGCTTATAGTGGCGAGGAACGCCTTCAGTACGATGGCGCTCCATGGTGATCATGGTGCGACTGGATTAGAACGACCCTTTCGAAGCATCAAATATGGGAAGGGACTGAAATAGCAATTGTCATAGCAACAGAGACCGATTAGCCAATAGCCTTGCGAGGTTTTGGTCGTCTGTACGTTAATATTTGTTTGTGTTCGGCTAGCAAGCAGGGAATGGTGCTACTTTCCCAGGATCCATCCAGCGACTTCAGATGAGGCTAGACAAAATAAGCTGGTCTAGCCCAACATATCCCACCGCGCTCGGAATCAAGACGCGCACCTTCGCGCTTCGCCCACACCTTCATAAGGGTCGTGGATGTCAGCGCAGGGGTTGACATTACAGGGGCCTCGGACGCATACGAGTCGACCTTTGAGAAGGGCGCTTTCCAGCTGCAGACACTAAAGTTGCTCGATAAAATCCACGCTTTAGCAGACATTGAAACTTACGGCATTGTTTGGAGCGAGACGAGCCGGACCCGTGGCACGCGCGTCGTCGGCTTACCGGGCACGCTACGAAGGCAGCCAGCGGAACGAAGAAAGATTGAACAGCTGCGAGTGTGCGCGCGCTGCCGACTTCCTCGGCGCTGCTCTTGCTGACGTGGTCAAAACACCGTCTGGCGCGCTTCCTTCGTCGCCGGTGTGTGATTGCCTGTCTTGCGCCGAGACGCCGCGGCCTCCCACCATGCCCGTGTAAGTGGACGCCCGGCCGGTGTGTTGAGACGCCGTGACGGAAGCGCGTCTACCTTGCGACGCCCGCTATCGTCGTTGGCGTACGATATGCGGCGATAGCGGTCGCTCCGCCTGGCGTGCCCCTATCGACGGTGGGGGGGCGGCAGGGACTGAAACGGTGACGCTGGTTTTGCGCTACTCCTTTGTCGGCCCCTTGTTCTCGCACATGGCGCGTCGTGGCTGAAGTGTCCTCGTCAGGTGTTCGGCCCGAACCACTTTCTTTTTTCGCTCGTCCGACAGGCCTCTCGACGACGCGGACAACGCGGACGAGATGACGGCGTTCAGCGACACCGATGAAGGTGAGCTGCTGCCGGCGTCTGGCACGCACGGGCTTCTTTCGGGGCTGCGTCTCTCTCTCTAGCATAGCCATGCAATATCCGGACTGTTTTCGTTGGGCTGTTGACAACCCTGGATGGTGGCCGTGTTGCTCTTTCTTTTTTTCTTCTGTCTTTATCTGTTATTTTTACTCACTGGGTCTTTGAGAGGTTTTGGAACGTTCATGTTTATAGGAAAATTACCCGCGCTTTCGTTTTGGTCTCATTTGTAACATCTCTCTTTAAAAACAACGGAAGGTTAGTACTAATGACGGCTGAAATTCGTTTACATTATGCCACAATGTATTGGATGGGAAATTACACTCGTATACTTATTCCACACTAATACTTCATTTGTACTCCGTGTGGATTACCCAGGAGTACAGGTTCACTAAAGGCATTGCTGCCCATACAGGAACGGCTTGCGTACCCAACATGGAGACCGTAAATTTGTTCTTTTGTAATGAGTCACGCCGTGTCACCTTCAGCGCGACATGTTGTGGGCATAAAAATGATAAGACTGTCAAGTAAGATAGCCTGGAGAACAACACATCAATTACTAAGTTTATTAACGCGATACGATATTATCACTGAACGGCTTTCGGAGAAAAAAAGAAGAAAAAGAGATTGTATTCTATTTATGAGTGTGGCTACATGCCCATGGATATGGAGAAAGGTCAACAGCTGCTGTTGTTGAGCGTTGAAATTTCCTTAAGCAGAAAACATTTTCGTAGGGATGCGATCTGCGTTGGGACACTGCGCGTGACGTTCGACGTGCTCTGTGTCCCAGCGCAGTCGTGTTGTTGATCGTCTCAAATATTTGTTTCGGCTCGTATTCATTCGTCGCTTCTCCGCCTGGTGCACTGGCAAGTACAGGTGGGAGCATTTTTAGGAGTACGGGTTAAAAAGGCGTTGCTTTATTTCTTGTTATCAGAACGCGAGAGAGATGAAAACACGCACCGAAGAGGTAAAACAAGCACCGAAGAGGTGCTTATTTTACCTCTTCGTTCCCGCCTTAAGCAAAAAATTTTAGACTTTTTCGGTTATAGTTTTTTGTTGATTGAGGGTTCCTTGCGCCAAACGGATATCAGCTCCGTTCCCACGTCAAAAACAACAGTAGCCCGATAATTTCCTCGCTTTCTCCGGACATGTTACCTGTGTAAATATTCCCTGATCGTTAATCATAGGATTTTTTATTCTTTACGCAAACAGAAGGGCGCTGATCACGTTATTTGTAACTTTTTGTTTTTACCTTAGAAAAATGAAGGCGATTCAGTAGTTCGTACGCAAAGAAATTGGTGGAGAAGATCGCCGTGTTCGTCCGCATCTTTGCTCCGCAGGCTCCGCCTCAATAAAAAATTCATCTGCTTCGTTTACATATTAAACCAGCCAAGGGTAGTACGATATAGTTTATATTGTCTTTTTTTATTTCACTCGGGCACTGGCGCGATAGCGCATTTTAACGAGCGCATAAGCGTAATATAGGCTTCACAGTACGACGTGTGTTGCAGTATATCATACGGTGTGTATTGGCAATGTTAGTCGTCTGGTAATAACTAGGTCCTCGATTATAATGATTATAATTGCATTATAATCATTATAATGAACGGCTGTTATTTTGCGGCGCGCTAAATCGTCTTGAAATGCGCTGCGCATGGCGTGCTTCACTAATTGCAGAATTTTGTTTTAGGACATTTAGGGCAGAGTATAGAATTTCGAAATCTTTATTGCTAGTGCAGTTTGTGTTTTCCTAGTATCATTCTGATGTCACACGATACATGTAATCGCATCAATACAGCGCTTAAAAGATAGACTCTAGCCTCTAAACAATTCGCAGTGACCATCTTAAAGCAGCTTTATTATGGCGCGTTTACACTTGCAGATTCGCGGCCGGATCCGCGCTGGCGTCGAGCGGATTTTGGAGCCGGGAGGCGTAATCGACTCGTCAATGGAGGAAAATCTGGATCTAGGTCCCGAACGGATCCAGATTTTCCTCCAGCAACGAGCGAATCTCGCCGCCAGGCTCCAGAATCCGGTCGTCGCCAGCACGGATCCGCCCGCGAATTCGCAGGTGTAAACGCACCGTAAGGCTTGAACTCCATGGAGCTAAACAAAGAGACGAATTTCGCCCGCCGGCCACTGCGCCTGGCGTCAGATGAGCGACTTGTGCAACACGCGAACGCGCCGCCAGGCCAAGTTGGTCGCTTCTTCGCCGCATATTCGTACCATAGAGTTCAGCCTTTAAATAGGTAAGCGAGTTTCGAAACATTGGTCACTGTTTGCTAAAGCGTCATCGCTTTCGCTTTGCCTACGAGCGCACTATACTCCCTTTTATGTTCGAGAGTTCTAGTGCGTTTGCGTTGCGTGCACCACAATGCGCATGCTCCATACGCACGCAACACCGCGAGCTTTACGTACGTATACGCTCGCTATCGATTTTTGCTTGCGTACGCAATGGTCCTCTGCGTTCCCGCCTCGTTGCTCTCGTCTCGCTCGGGGCAGCGCGAGACTCAGATTGGCTCAACCGAATACTGTCTTGATTGCTTGGAGCAGTTTGCGTAGGCGCATCTAGATGGCGGTGCCAGTGCTTGCGTAGGCGTTTGCCTGTACTAAAAGCGCCAGTCTGACGCGCTCCGCAGCGCTAACGCAAAGCTCTTTAGGCTATTCTAAAACTCTCGATTAAGTCCGAGCGCCACAGACGCTCGGACTTTTTTTTTTCTTTTTTCGTTAAGCCCCTGAAACGATTTAAAGGGGTCATGAAACAATTTTCTATTTTCGCTAAATAATACAACTGAATAAACTTCCCTTAGTTTTTCTTTCTAGGCAATGGCAGTCGGCAAAAGAATTCGACAAATTTGAGCATCGCTCCCCCCTGAACTCGGAGCCAGAGCAAGCGGCCACGTGGCCTGGTGCCTATCCTACGCCGCGAACGTTAACGATAGCCACGCGCTGGCGTTGGCAAAGTAAAAAAAACACTTGCTGAGCTCCAGGCATTGTTAGAGTTTCGCTATTCTCATCACCGCAGTGGCTGGACACGACCCACTACCCGAGTGTCCACCGAGGCATTCATTATTACGAGCCGAAGTTGAGTGCTCACGCAGCTCTGCCCTCTTGTCCAATCCGTGAGCCGCACTCCACTGTCGTCAGGCAGGTGGTTTCGATTCCACAATCACGTCATCAAGCTTAGCGAAGGCAAGACTGAAAGAAATAGCCCCCTTTTTTCCCTCGCAAATTCACCGCGACAAAGACGTTTCTGAATCAGTGGCGGTCCGTGCGAGTATACTTGGGCCAGACTAGGAGCAGTTCGCCTCTACAAAGTCATGAACATTCGAACCCGATATCGTTTCATGACCCCTTTAGGTCCATTGAAATTTGACCACGTTTCCAATGTAGAGATGAACAGACAGAGAGGTACAGACAGGTGTCATGCGCATGCATTAGAACATTAATTTCTTCACCAATATTGATAATATCATTTATATAAATATGAAAGAGTAAGGGCCCAGTATGCTTGCTACCTTGGGGGACACCACATCTGATAGGCGTAAAATATGATAAATAACCATCGATGTATACACACTGGCTATGTTCTTTTAAGTATGAAAACAAAAGCGACAGCGATGAACCACGAATGACGTACTGGTATAATTTGTTAATAAGTATCTTGTAATTAACGCGATCAAAAACTTTACTGAACTCTAAAAAAATGCCTAATCTCAAAAGTTCGCTTTCAATGTTGTGAAGAGCAATATCTTTTTGTAAGATGAGTGCAGATTCCGTGGATCCTCCCTTTGTAAAACCTAACTGAGACTCAGAAAATACAGAGTGTTGACAAAAAGCTACCTAAACGGCACAAAATTGTTTTTTCGAACCCTTTAGAAAAAAAAAAAAAATCAGGCTGAACAGACATCGGTATATAATTGGATAAATTATTTCAATCACCTTACTCTACACTAACACTTTAGCAAGTTTAATTTTCGTAGGGAAATCTTCACACGACAAGTTCAAATGATAGATATGTGTACAAGATATGGAGCAAATATGTCAAGAGTATATTTAATGGGCTTAATTTGTAGGTCATCAATATCGCATGTTTTACTATATTTTTCTAAGTTCATGAATATTTGAAGCACTTCATGATAAGCCGGGGTCCCACTGCTCATACCTCAAAGAAACGACAGTCTGTAAACACGAGTCACAGAAATATCCGTGGTTCGAAAGCCGCGTGCCCAAGTTTCTCTTTGAACTCATCGCCATGCGGCATTCGAAGCACGAACTCGCGGTGACTCGCGTTCGAATCTGTATACACAGTCTTTTGTATGTATAGACCAACACGCGTCCCTGACGTCAGGCAGCAGCGGTGGCGCTGTCGACGGCACTGCGCATGCGCAGAAGCTTCAGTTCCCTCGAATTCGGTTTCTGCGCACGCGCAGTGCCCACACCTGGTGTGGGCAAACGCGGGCTTGTTTGTAAACAGCGTGTCGGTCTATAAGCAGCGTGACACTGGCTTTAGATCCACTAAGAGAATAAAAAAAAAAAAAGGGGGATTCATTGATTCCTTGTGAAATTCCGTCCACGGCTGGATCGCAGGATAAGCTCCGCGACAAATGAACAAGGTGGGAATTAAAAGATAAAATCAAACAAGTGCTCTCCGAGAAAGTAGCTGCCCCGCATCCGTCGCAACGTTGGTCCGTCGTGAGCCACCATCGCGTCGTCCAGCCCGCAATACGACGCCATATTGAGAATCACGTAGTACGTGTACTTCCTGTGATCCGTGCAACATGCTTTTATCAACTTATTTGCAGCTTCTCGGAGGCCACAAATATGGGAGGGTTCATATTCTTTTCTATTTTTAATATAGAATGTGTGCCTTTGATGACCCACGACTTTGAATGTATTTCGTACGCGTTATGTTTGAACGCTGCGTGACCATGGAGAAGAGAGTGAGCGCGATTTAAAACCGGCCAATTATTTACCGACTGTTT